ATATTTTGACTTTGGTCATTTTAGTATACGTATGATATAAATGTGAGAAATGTGCCACGCGCCTTTGAATAAGAAACCAAAATTAGTCATAAGACAGTGAAAAAGTGACGCGCACCGAAATCTAGTCCTCAGCTCATGATATAACCATTGCGGAAAAGTGTCACGCTCTCTTGACTAACCTGATCACAATCCCGCTTATCACGTTTACATACATCACTCAAAAGTCGCTTAGGGTGAGGATATACATTGTTTAAGTTTAGATTGGACTTTTTAGTTAATAGAGTTAATTTAAAAGAAAATAGTTGAATTAAGTTTTAAGGGATTTTAAGTATATTAAAATAATATTTAAAATAAAATAATTAAAAATGACATGACGTAAAAGTATGAGATATGTGATTGAAAGTGTCGAGTAGTTAAAATTATAATAATGAATTAAATTTGGCGTGATGAGTAAGAGTGATTGATTGATATTATTTAATAATATTGATAATATTGAAGAAAGTCGAATTGAGTTAAATTTGAGTTAGATTTTGAGTTAAAAAAAATTATCGAATATATTGATACAAATTTGTATCAAAGTACACCCTTAACTAAAATATATGGTTATTAATGATCATATAATTTTTTTTAACTCAAAATTTAGCTCAAATTAAATTGAATTATCCTAAATATTATCGATATAGTTAAATAATATTAATCAATCATCCTCATGTTCAACCTTAATTCACTAAATACTCATCACTTCGGATCATATGTGTCATACTTTTGTATTACATCAATTTTTTTATCCTTATACTTTAAATACTATTTAAATACAAGTTCAAAATTTCATTCAAACCAAATGCAATGAACTTTTTGTTTTAAATTAACTCAGTTTATTTAATAAATTCAATCAAATCTAAAATAAATAATAAATAATATCCAAGGAAACCCTTAAATTACAGAACCGACAAACTGCCACACTCCTTTTTTTCCCACAACAATTAAAACCATAATTATTAACGCGTACATATATATATATATATATATGCAGAAGCATCTAGTCAAACTTTGAGTGCATTTATATTGAAAATAATTTGAAAACTTAACACTAATTTAACAAAATTTAAAGTACAGTATGCTAAAACTGAAAATACCTTTGAATATATTGAATCGAGATATTTTAAATAATATAAAATTTATTAAAATTTGTCATTAGAGGAGGCGGGGGTGACATAATTGATAATACCGCGGTCATTGATTTTTAACGATTTTGGGCAAAGAAAAAAATAATTTTGAAAACGTTACCAACCAAAACTTACTGCGTTGCAACTTTGTTCACGCTGGCTGGAAGTTTTCACGCTTTCAGAGTAAAAAAGGCTAGAAAAGAGGACAAAAAGTAATTGAAATTGGCAGTGGCATTACCGTAATACAGCTCAACTCCCAGCCTCATAACTTAACTACCCACGTTTTTAACCCCGACAACCGTCCCCACCATTCTGTTATCCCCTCACTGGCCTTTCGCCCCTTCAGTTTCTCCCCCCACACACACACGCACTAATAAATATTTTGATACCTTTATCCCTGCAACAATGGCGTTATTCGGGCCGGCCATCTGGTTCTTCGCAGCCGCCTTTCTCCTTCAGTCCAGTGTCCTTGAGGCGGCCACCAATAAACTCTACATCGTACACATGGATAAAAACCTCATGCCCAACACCTACAACACCCAAAGCGATTGGTATGCCGACCACTTACAAACCCTCACCGCCGCTAAACCGGAAAACATCATCTACACCTACAAGGACGCGTTCCATGGCTTCGCTGCCGCCCTCTCCCCAGAGGAGGCCGATGCCCTGCGCCAGTCGGACGCCGTCTTCGAGGTGTACGAGGACATGGTGTACGAGCTCCACACCACGCGCACGCCGGAGTTTCTGGGGCTGACCGGGGAGCAGGCCGGCAACACTCTGCAGCGACTGAATAAGGCCTCATACGATGTGATCATTGGAGTCCTGGACACCGGCGTCTGGCCGGAGTCGAAGTCCTTCAGAGACGACGGCATGCCGAAAGTGCCCTCCCGGTGGGGCGGAACATGCGAGAAAGGCTTCTGCAACCGGAAGCTAATCGGCGCTCGATCCTTCACCGATGGATACAGAAGGGCGGTGGGTAAAACTAACGAGTCAATGTCCGCCCGCGACCTTGAAGGCCACGGCACGCACACGGCAAGCACCGCCGCTGGTGCCGTTGTTCCCAACGTCAGCCTCTTCGGCTACGCTAGCGGCAACGCTCGTGGAATGGCTCCCCAAGCCAGGGTCGCTGCCTACAAAGTCTGCGGGGCGGAGGGTTGTATGTCGTCAGACATACTCGCGGGCATTGACAGTGCGATTAAAGACGGAGTCGACGTCCTTTCCATGTCCCTCGGTGGTCAAGCCGTGCCGTACCACAAGGATGTCATCGCCATCGGAGCTTTTGCGGCCATGGAAAAGGGGATCTTCGTCTCGTGCTCGGCCGGAAACTCCGGCCCAGGCGAGAGTACGGTCTCGAACGTCGCGCCGTGGATTACGACCGTCGGCGCCAGCACAATCGACCGGGATTTCCCGGCTTACGTCGCTCTAGGCAACAACCAGAACGTCACGGGCGTGTCTTTGTACAGTGGGAATGGCATGGGCAAAAAGTTGGTAGAGTTAGTCTACAGGCCAAGCGGCAACGAGTCGAGCAATCTGTGCCTGTGGGGGTCCCTTGACCGCGCCCAAGTGAATGGCAAGGTGGTGTTGTGCGACAGAGGGGAGAACGCGCGGGTGCAGAAAGGGGCGGCGGTGAAAGCGGCCGGAGGCTTGGGGATGATACTGGCCAACACGGAGGAAAACGGGGAGGAGCTGGTGGCCGACAGCCACTTTCTGCCGGCCGTGGCGGTGGGGCAGATGTCGGGGGAGGCGATAAAAGAGTACCTGACAACACACAGGAAGGCGACGGCGGTGCTCAGCTTCGGGGGAACGATGGTGAATGTGAAGCCGGCGCCGGTGGTGGCGGCGTTCAGCTCGAGGGGCCCGAACTCGGTGACACCGGAGATCCTCAAGCCTGACGTGACCGGGCCCGGCGTCAACATCCTGGCGGCGTGGACGGGGGCAGCGAGTCCTACGGACCTGCCCGAGGACACCAGGAGAAGCCAGTTCAACATCATATCAGGTTAGTAATTAGTATCCATTACCACCAAATTTCAATTATATATGTTAATGTTCCTACCTTACTTCATTGTTTCTCCTCTTGTTTTTTGATTCTCTTGAGAGTATAATGTTCAGTTGGATCCAAAACTAGTCTAATCTGGTTCATATCATAAGTTACATTGTTTGCTAGAGTATGTCATTTCATTTTGAAAATATGCATATGGACTCCTAAACGTTTGTCCAACTTATATGAAGTGTCAAACGGGCTAGTTGATGTAGCTAGAGGTATTGGATCGGCTTAATTGGAAGAGAAATGACATCTACATCACCTGTATGGATATATATATTTGTGTAATTAGATCAAAACGGTGAAAAATCGACCCATGTTAAAGTAACTTGTAAGACAACAGAATCCTACATTTTTTTCAAAACAATGACTCGGTGACAAAATTTTATGAGCAGGTACATCGATGTCGTGCCCGCACATAAGTGGGCTGGCGGCCCTTGTGAAGGCTGCCCACCCAGACTGGAGCCCGAGCGCGATCAAGTCGGCCCTCATGACCACAGCCTACACCCTCGACAACACCCACTCCCCCATCAGTGATGCCGAGGACAATTCCAGCGCAACCCCATACGCATTGGGCGCGGGCTACGTGGACCCAATCAAAGCCCTCTCCCCGGGCCTCGTGTACAACATCACCCCGCGCGAATACCTCGCCTTCCTATGCTCCCTCGGCTACAGTCCGAGGGATATCCTGGCCATCACCAAGAACTACAATCATACGTGCGCCAGCCTTAAGTACAAGTTCAAGACCCCGGCCCAGCTCAACTACCCCTCTTTCTCCGTGGTGTTTAAAAACACCAGGGTCATGCGTCTGACCAGGAAGTTGACCAGCGTGGAGCCCGGTGAATCGGTTTACACTGTCTCGGTCAAGGCGCCCCCGAATGTGAACGTGACCGTGAACCCAACGAGACTTCGTTTCAAGTATGTCGGGCAAAGGTTGAGGTATACGGTCACGTTTGTGTCCAGAAGTGGTTCGCGTGAGGATGCGTCGTTCGGCTCGATTTCTTGGAAAAATGAGAAGAACACGGCGGTGACTAGCCCGGTTGCATACTTATGGGCCAGGAATTGAGATCCTTTCATGCACCATAGGTTATTTACAGCAAGGGAAACCGAACCAAACCAAACATTATAATGGCTTATATGTGGGCATCTTGCGGGAGATTTGTGTGGTACGGTGGACCTGAAGAATAAAGGTTATATTTTTATTTTTTATTTTATTTTTTTTGTTATGTTTATTTATATGTTTTATGAGTGAAGTCTACTTAGTTTGTTGAGTGAAGTTTACTGTACTGGGATGGGGCATCATGCCACGCTCAAGTTTGACCGTCATGTTTT